CATGTAACTAGCTATTTGAAAGCTCATGGATTATCACGATTTATTTTATTCCTGTCCATATGTCTGTGGATCGAGGCCCATTCAGGTTGAGTTCAGGTATTTCCCATGTAGCTATTATTCTTCTCTTGTGTAAAAGATATGTTTTATCTTACTGTTTTTTGATGTAATTGTATTCAAATTTGATCATCATACAAGAACTGGACACATTGAAGTGAAGTATCTCCACACAAGTATTATAAAAATAGTGAAATTCTGAGTATGTGGGGAGTGTTTTAATCTCTTAGATATGTTAAATGAGAAAAAACATAACCTATACAGGAAAATCAAAGATTCCTTTACATATTCAAATGATCATTGCATGAAACTGTATTTAAAATCATGACCTACTCCAGAGCACAGAACTATAATCAACGGTTAAAAGACACAAGGAGGCATACTTTCATGATTTTCCATAATGGAATAAATTAATTGCTTTACCTGGAAAATGAGAAAGTTGTAATTTATTTTCACCAATGAAGGATCCAATCAAAGTCACTTCTCACATCTTTTGGCAGAACAATTACAAAGTTGTTATAAAACATAAAAAATTCTGTGATGATAAATCTATGGAATAAAATTCTATTGCTGAACTCTCCCTTGCCCCCCTCCAAACTGGGGAGAGTCTGAGATCTCATCATTTTCTTAATTTCCTGCCAAGAAACCAAAAAGAGATCTCTGATCTCCTCTGGTAGGGACTGGCTCAGAAACTTTGTGTACAAGGGTGAGTTTATAAAGTCATTGGTGGATATTAGTATTATTTCATGTTCTCCTTCCTGGCCTTTGACAGTCAACTTCCACCTTCTAAGAGAACTCATGCATGCAATGTTAATATTACAATCCCTCAATATACAAAAATTTATTTCAAAGAAATAAAAGAAGGAATATCGTGAGGAAAATTATCAAATAAAAATGTTTATGTATTCCGTGGTTTTCTAAACACAGAGGCATTGTAACTCCATTTGTGGTGATACGATATCAGAGCAGATGGGAAATATATACAAAAGTAGGTTCTTGGGATCCATTGACTCACAAATCTTTTTAGCTGCAATGGCATAAATGTCTTCTAATCCCAGTGTTTCCAAATGTAAGATCCCTGACTACATAAAAATTACCAGAGGAACTTGTTAAAAATATAAATTTTAATATACTGATTTACCCTGGCTTTCTGAATAGCAATCCCTTGAAGTAGGTTCTGTTATCTGTTTAAAAAACTCCCAAAGGATTCCAGTGAAAAGCCAAACTTACAAAACACTCATCTAATCCACGTGTTAAAATTGAGAAAATGGAGGACTACAGAGACCCAGT